TTTTTTTTTTTTTTTTTTTTTTCTGTGTAGCCCCGGATGTCCCAGAACTCACTTTGTAATGCAGGCTCACCTTAAACTCAGAGATCCACCTGCCTCTGCCTCCTGAATGCTAAATTAAAGGTGTGTGCCACCACCGCCTGGCTGATATCTTTTTTACTATTAAAAACAACCGTGGGGGCTGGAGAGGTGGCTCAGTGGTTAAGAGCATTGGCTGCTCTTCCAGAGGACCTGAATTCAATTCCCAGCAACCACATGGTGGCTCACAACCATCTATAATAAGATCTGGTGCCCTTTTCTGGCATGCAGGTGTACATGTAGACAGAACATTGTATACATTATAAATAAATCTTAAAAAACAAAACAAAACAAAAAAAAAAAAAAAAAAAACAGCCATGGACTTATAGAAGAGCTCGCAATGGCTCCCAGAGGCCAGGAATATAAACAAAGTACCTTGTATGTTCCATTTGTACACCTGACTACTAAAATGGCAACCTCAAGTCTTGTGTGCAAAGAGCTGGGGTATTCATGGCTAGTTCACACTAGTGAACTAAGTGGCCAAGCAACCCACCTAAACCTCCCACCCTCCCCTAAAAAGGTACTCACTTTTTCTAAGACAGGGTCTCCTAACCTAGACTAGTCTGGAGCTTACTGTATATCCCAAGCTTCACACTCATGGCAATTCTCCTGCCTCAGCTTCCCAAGTATTGCAAACGTGAACCATTACACCTGGGTTGGCTTAAGCTTATTTTCAAAAAGACATTTATCTTGTAGGGATGAATGTTTTGTCTGCATGTATGTATGTACATCTCATGCATGCCTGGAGCGGGTATTGGGTCCTCTGGAACTGGAATTATAGATGGCTGCCAGCCACCATGTGTGTCCTGGGAACCAAACCTAGTTCCTCTGCAAGAGCAATAAGTGCTTTTAAGTACAGAGCCATCTCTCCAGCTCCATTGGCCTAGCCCGAGCACTATAAGCCACAGTGGTGAAACATTATAGATTCAGCTTCAGGCTAGCTTGGCTTCCATTCCCTCCCTCCTTCCCTGAAGGGCTGGTGTGAGATAGGGTCTTACCCATAGTCCAAGCCTTGAGCTCTTGACAGTTCTCACACATCAGCCTCCTGAGTCCTGTACTTATGGGATTGGGGATCTCTCTCTCTCCTTCACGTTCTTCCTTCCTTCTTTCTTTTGTGTGAATGTATATGTGTGTTTTCAAATGTGTGCACATGTGTAGAGCCCCAGCACCTTTACCCACTGAGACATCTCCCCAGCTTTCCCTTTTAGACAGAGAGAGAGAGAGACTGTGGTTACAAACTAAAAACCACAGAACAGGAAATTTACGATTTTAAAATGTACAGTTCAATGACATTATATACTTGACAACAGCTGTAACCATTACTACCGCACATCTCCTGAACCCAGATCTTGCAAACCTGAAACTCTGTCCACATGAAACACTAGCTCCCAATTTCTGCCCACTTCAGCCCTGGCAACTGCCATTCTTTCTGTCTCGATGAATGGGGCTTCTCTGAAGACTTACTAGTCTGTAGCTACCTACTTGTCCTGGCAATTGAGCCACAAGGCTGACTAGACAGGAATCTGGTCTGAATTAGAGGCAGGAGAAGGAACACTGCCAACTGCTGTCCAAAAACCTCTTTACTCTAAAAACAATTAAGAGATAGAAACAAAAGTTATATTTAAAAAAAAAAAATAGGAAGGAAAGAAAGTGTTGTAATAACTCCTGTGAACACATTACTCAGCTCCAATTGTCATGCTATCTGCATTGCCTCTAAAAGAAAAAAAATAAGTTTTATTTTACTTTATGTGTATGAGTGCTTTGCTTTCAGGTACGTATGTGCACCACATGTGTGCCTGGTGCCCTCAGAGGTCAGAAGAGGGCATAGGATCCCCTGGAATAGGAGTTATAGGTGGTTGTGAGTCACTGTGGGTACAGGGAACTGATCCTAGGTCCTGTGCAAAAGGAGCTGTCTCTCCAGTATCCCTACTAATTTTTTTTTTTAAATGTACATTTTGGTGTTTGGCTTACATGAATGCCATGTGAGTGCTGGGAATTGAACCCGTGTCCTCTGAAAGAGCAGCTGATGCTCTTAACCGCTGAGCGAGCTCTCTAGTTCCCTTCCTCCCCTTTCCCCCAATTCACAAAACAGTAACATAGAACGAGGTTCTAAGGAACATCAGTGGCCTATCCCTGTTCCTCCAGCACTGTCCTTTCTCAAGTGCTCAGGACACGTGCAGTTAAGCCCCAGCTGTCTTTTATGGTTGGCAGGATGCCAGACTCAGGTGCAAAGCCTAGGCTCGGAGCAGGCCAAAGTTTCTTGGCTCAAAAGAATTGGGTTTTAAAGCAGTAACAGCTGGCAATGCTTCTGAAAACAAGACTGATTGTCATCAGGCTTGCTGTTCTCTCTTTTTAAAACCTCTCTCCCCTCATCTGAATGAGAACCATCACTGGATCAGGAGGAGGCCACCATAGCAGCTGGTTGCCTCCCACCGAACTTCGTGTTGGTGGAGGGCAATTAGGAAAGCTGGGTCAGCGGGACAAAAAAGCTGCTCCACTGTCATTCTGGCCTTGCTTCATGCCCACGTGGATTCTGACACCTTCCCAGGTAAATGTGGAGAATGCCAAGTGGCAGAGGCAGGGACTACACATGGAAAGAGCACTTGTTGCTCTTGCAGGGGACCTGGGTGGAAAGTCCTCTGCCAGGTTGTAGCTCTTGGCAGGGAGGATGAGGTCAGGGTTCCAGGAGTGGCAGTCCAAGCAGGGCAGGCTCATAAGAGATCTCTGAGGTATCAATTTTTTTTTAATTTTTTTTTTCTCAGATTCCACCCTCCTTAGAGGAGAGATATGTGGTCCCCCGGAGGGAAACAATTCAGCCAGCTTTATTGATGGCTAGGGAACCAGTGACCAGAGAGAACTAAGATTCTTGAGGATACCTTCCCTTGAGGCTCAAGTTTCCTGTCCCCACTCAGTTATCTTTGTGTGAATTTGAGCAATTGAGCTGATGCTTCACAGGGCAGGGAAGAGGGCTCAAGGGACTCCCCAGGGGACATAACAGACAAAGGAACCCCTGGCACATGGGACGTGCTCATCAGTGCTAGCAGCTGCTGCTGTGTTATCTATAGAATATGATATTCTTTTTTTCTTTTCTTTCCTTTCTTTTTTTCACCAAACTGGCAACTTTGAGAGCCCTGTTCTTTGGGCACAGATGAGCTTCTAGTAATGATGTCAGAAGATATTTTCTTAAGGGTTCTGAAAGGGCCTGGGAATCATCCGAACAAAAGGCGCCTTCAGCTCCACCTGGCTGCAGAAGCAGTGCTGGGCGAGGAGAATAGCCACCACAAATCCCAGCCCCCCTTCCTCAGCTATGGCACCTTGAACTCAGCCAGTCGGTGATTACAAAGGGTAGAAGTGAGACAGAGGACAGTGTTATGTCTGAGTCTTTTTCCAGATATCATGACTCCTCAAGGATGAGATTTCTCCCAGCTGGTCAGCGCAAGAGACAGAAAATCTGCTCGCTAAGCTGTAGTCATAGGAGGTGGGCATTTGGTTCCCAGATGCACTGTGCAGGAAGCAGTCCCCACACCCACACCTGACTGTCCTGTATTCTCGCAGGACCTGGCTGCTCGCTGCATCAGACCAGGGCACACCTCTGCCGTGAAAAACATTGGAGCACAGCTTCTAGCCTAAGAATAGTACTCATCAGATAGCTCTAGTTTTCTCTACGGCAAAGGATTCCAAAGTATAGAGCTTTCTATACCACAAGCACAGACCAAAGGCAACCCACCGTTTCTGAGGATGACGGTTTCCCTTCGGCATGGGTGTGAGGCCAGCCACAGCCTCATCCTGTCTAGCCATCCTGTTCTCCACCAACATTTTCCACTTCAATGTCCTTTATGCTAATGAGCCACTGGATTCCAGAGCCTTTCTAGGGAACACTCTCTGATCAACAGGATGTTGCTTTTTCTGTGAACAATAGAATTTAAATCAAAAGGGAGGGTGATGTGCTATCGAGATACCTTCTGTGGTGATGGTTCCCTTCAGCCCACCTGAAAAGCCCACATGCAACCAACCCCAGCCCTTTTGGCTTTTTGTAGTTAATGGAGGCAGTTAGGAAGGGGGCTTCCCGCTCTTCCCCAAGGTGTGGGGGTGGGCCACAACAAGTGTCTTTCTAGGAACTGGGACACAGAATGAACAATATGGCCAAGAAGCTACTCAGACAATAGCCCAGAAACCAACTGGGGACATTATCCTCTGAAGAGACGGTTAACTACATAGCATAGCACCGAGGTCAGAAGAGAGCCATGACAAGATCTCACGCCACTTACAGGCATACACTCTGGGCTGAGCCTCAGCCTTTTGGGTCTCTGCTTCTGGGCCTGAGACATGGGAATAACAGCATGTTGAGTTGAGGTGGCATGCTGGGCTCGTGCTCTCAGAATGGTTCACTTTCTAGATCCTGTTTCATCCAGAAAGATCCCCACCCTCGCTTACAGGCACAGTGACAGGTTTCTGG